AAATTCACAATAGCTCCTGCTCAAACTCAAAGTGCAGGCTGTTAGAAAATAGGTTAACATTTTTCTCTGCACTCCAAAATTCCATTCCCTACCTAGCTTGAGTTTTAATCTAATGAACTTCACACTTTAATTTGTCTAGTTGTTAGTGAGCCTTTATTCTATTTTATTCACTTGGGGCTACCTTAATTGGACTCCCATCTGCTTTCTCAAGGGATTACCCTTTATATACAGCAACCTCTTTAGCAGCCAGGTGTGCTTGTCTCAGGTTTCAAGGTGATTACCATGCTAGTACCTTTACCAGCACCTAAGGAATTCAGTTCCTTAGACCTTGAACAAGTTCAGATCACATATTCAATAAGGGCTGGAAAGTCCAAAGATGGAGGATTAGGGAGTCACATAGCTATCACCTTCAAACACAGCCCTTGCCTTGACAGATTAGTATTTGACCAAACCACACAATGGTCATGGAGGACGAAACAGAATGCACCAGACCAAAGAAACTTATGAAAAATCAAAGATCAAAGAGGCAAAAGCAATGGAGGAAACAGCTCTAAGAGGAAAACAGGGCCACTGGACTTGCCACCCCTCCCCCCACACACATACTTATTTTGGTTAGTTTATCAGAGCTAATCAGGGACATCAGACAAATCCTTTCCCTGAAACCAGGTTTTCCTCAAAGCCCCTCCTTAGAGCTTCTTATCCCTCCTGTTGGTTAGGTATGAACTTTAGACATATATAACCAAAAGTTTCATCTTATTCTTCCCAACCCTTTCAGGAAATATGCCATCTCTTCTGTTCTTCCTCCACTGTATAAATAATATGTGAGTATATTTCATACATAAACCTTTATTGGCATTAACACAGCAACCGAAAGGGCAGTGAAACAGTTAGAAAAATAAATAAACAAATTAATAGGTCATGGCAAATTACACCAAGCTGCCCCAACAAAAGATCATTTAGAAGTTTCTCCTCAGTATATTCACATCAGCAACTGTCCTCAAACTTTCAAATTTTCTGTGGCTGGCCTCATTTTAGAGAATGTCTGATAGTTCAAGAGCATTTTAGCTGCTTTTATAAACATTTTTGTAAAGCTCTATTTGAATTATTTTTTCCAAAATATGGTATATTAGTTCATTTATACCCCCATTACTTTCATATTTATGTGCAAGTATGAATAAGAATTAACTTCACAAACATTGACTGCTTCTGCCACAAGCTGCAGAGTACCTTGCATTGACTATTCCATGTATTATTTATACCTAAAACACAATAACTGAGACTAGTTCTCAAACTACACTTATTAAATGGTTAATGGTAATGGTGCTGTGTGACTCACCATTTTGTAAAAGTAGAACATATGACAGCACATCACATCAGGCCACACATTCACCCCACACCAACCCTGACATCTGATCCAAGCAAGGAAAGGCACCATGGCAAGCCTCCTACAAGTAGCACTGGTTTTGTAAGAGTTTTCGTTGCATCTGAGGAAGTAAGCTCTGACTCAAAGTCTCATGCTGGAATAAACATTGTTAGTCTTCTGTTTCATAAGCGGGGAACAAGCCCACTTCAAAGGAGTGAAGCTCTTAGTGAAGCTCCCAATGGAAAAACTGTCCTGACAAGTTGTATATCTAAAGCTAAGTATCTATGCTTTAGATAGGGTTGCCAAGTTGATTCTTCTTACTGGCGGGGGAGCCTCGCCGGGCTCCGGGAGCTCTCTGCCGATGCGCGCGTGGCGCCGCCAGCACGTCACCAGAAGTGACACGCTACGTCGCTCACGTTGAGGGTGTGGCCTCGATCGTCGGAGGGAAAACCATAGAGTTTTCCCTCCGACGATCTGGGCCACGCCCCCAACGTAAGCGACGTGGAAATCGGGCCTCCAAAGCAGGGGTTTACCCAACCTTTGCCCCCACTTGGCAGCCCTATCTGGAATGTCACAGTAATGCGAGAAAATATCAGTTTACTCATCTTTCACCTGTTTGCAGGGAGCATGAACTGCAATAAGCTTAAGGAGGGAAAGGCAACCTGTAAACTAGCATTTGCAAAAGGACTGAAAGTTCTGACCAACCCACATGTTACAAACTGTGGATAATCAGCAAGAATGTTTAATTCACACACAAAACCTTTATTGGCATTGAGAGAATGTTTAATTGGAACAATCTTCTCTGAAAAGATGCCAATGTTAATGAGATTTTTAGAACGTGAAACTGAATAAAACTAAATGGCTCTTATCAAAGTACAATGATTTCACTTTGATTTGAGGTTCAAAGTACAATGGATTTCATTTCCAGCATACATACCTCCCTTTGATTTAATGCTTAAAGAAGCAAATCAAACTGTAGAATTTAAACAAATATCAGTAAAGACTAGTAAGCAACTACGTAAACCTGTCCTGTTAGAGAAAAAATGTCTTCTGGCCCTGACCTGGATGGCCCAGGCTAGCCCAATCTTGTTAGATGGTGGGAACTAAGCAGGATCGGCCCTGGTTAGCATTTGTATGGGACATCACCAAGGAAACCCAGGGTCACTATGAAGAGGCAGCCAATAGCAAACCACCTCTGAATGTCCCTTGCCTTGAAAATCCTATGGGGTCACCAGGGGACATTTCGTAGAAAAAGAGGTGCAGGAGCTCATTAGCATAACTCATTAGCATAACTTATTTGCATATGCCACACCCCCTGACATCACCAGAAGTGTGTCAGAAGGCAACACCCACTGCTCAGGCTCCACTGGATTGTTTTGGATTGCTAGCTATTGGGAGCGGGCTCTGCAGCTTACCTGGCTGCTTCTTGCTCTGACTGAGGGCTGCGGGGAGCAGGGGGTGGGGCTTGTTGCATGTGCCCGCCCCCTGGGCTCTTTACTGCCGGAGCTCCGCTCCTGTGCGCTCCTGCAGGAAATGACCCCTGGGGGTCACCACAACTTGGGTGTGACCTGACAACACTTTCCACCATCTTCACGTCATTTTCTGGAATCTGCCAAGAAGTATCAATGGTTTCTTAAAAACATTATTTATAACTGGCATCAAAGCCCATACTATTTGCCAGTTATCATTCTTACAAGATTTCAGTTTGAAGAGCTGAAAAACCTCCAAGGAAAAAGCCCATGTTAAAAATGCTGCTGTAGTGTCCCCATAAATATTTTAAAAACTCAAGAACCCAACAGGCTTTTCAAAGGAGTCCTATGAAAAGCTGAGTAGCAGTTACAGTAAATTTAAACAATTTAGCATCCATGGGATACTTTCAGAATTACAAAGCGCTTCACATATCTCAGTAATCATGACTACTTTGCAAAAAAATGTGTGTCTGAATTATCCCTAGGCTGAAGATGGGTGACAAGGCTCAGAGCAAGTGATTTTGCCTAAGGCCATCTAACAAAACAAAAATATGTATACACTAACATTTAGTGCTTAACTGCTATTATAAGCCACCACATGAGATGGATATATTAGACTGTAGCACAGATGATGAAAGACAGAGGCATCAGGAGTCTGCAGTCCTACAGGACAGGGGAAGAGTACACAGCAGCCTAACCATGACATACACCTGACCTCCCAGCCCCACACTGCTCAGCATTCTTAAGCCACAACTGCCACTTTTTAAAACATGGGTGTAAAATCATTGCGGAATATAGTCAAAATATATTCTTTTAAAATGCAATTTATTGTACTTTATCACATGCACTGAGAACTTTTCTATGTGTAAGAAAAACCTGACTTGCAAAGCAAGCATTGAACATATGATACAATAGGTCATGAGTTATATTGAAGTGATGGGTTCACATTTGTAACCTAAGAGCAGAGACATCTCCACCAGAACAGCACCGTTTCAACCAGTAATGCCAACTCTTGCTTCCAGTTCTGGTTCTTCACCCCCCAATTCACAAGACTTAACTTTGTACTGGAATACGGCTCTTGTGTTAAGTGATCTTAAGCTAACTGCATCAGCATTGTGAACATAAACAAATCTGCAGCTTCCCTTATATACGCAGTTACAATTGCGTAGCACAAAAAGAAATACAGAAATCACAACTCAAGACCTTAGATTATGTTTCTAGGCAGTGTGTGATTTGATTTCTTTTTCTGGACAATTTTAATCCAGTCTTCCTTACAGGCAAAAATCAAAAACATAAGAACAGTAAGAAGCGCCTAAACACTGAACTATTTATGCATGCATAAAATTTAGCCACCACCAAGTTAGATGGACAATTGATTTGACTCTGTATAGGGTAGCTCCTTAAAACCAAATGGGACAACTATTTAAAAAGTCTTTAGATTAATAAATTCCTCCCTTGGTTAAAACAAAGCTATACCCATCATACAGTAACTATCTGAAAGCTGCTCTTGATGAATGGTAAGATGTCATTTCAAGAAAAGTAGTGTGCTCAAGATAGCAAGCTTATCCTCTCATTAAATAGAGCACAATCCACCTAAATCTTGTTAGCTGGGAATTAAGTCCCTTGACTGTAGTCCTATGTACTCTTATTTTGCTGAGTAAGACATGCTTAGTTTCCAAGGCAAAAATGGCATCTGAGCTAGTTACCTGTATTTCGAGGTAATAAAGGAGAAAATGTTGAGAAGACCAGCAAGTGTTCTGAATCAATATATTTAATTCTCAAAATCTGTGGAAACGTAAATTCAGAGACTGGGGTCCCAGACAAACTAGAAGGGTGTGTGAAAACCTTCCAAAATGATCGAAGCAGCACCTGCAGGGCCATAGCCAGCAGTGGGGTGTATGGGGCACTGCCCCCTTTCCATTCTGCAGCACCCTCAGTCCAGCAAAGATGGATGTGCCTTCCAGGCACCAGTATGTGCGTCTGAGGGTGCCACAGATCTCCCAGCTCCCCCCAGCTGCTGTGCACCTGAGAGACCTAGAGCAGAAGGTGCAAAGGGCAGCCTGCTTGCGCCAGCCTCTCCATGCGCTAGCCCACCCCTGCCACTTCCTCCTCTTATTGGCCTGGGGCACAATTCTAGAGATCCGCCATTGGCTTTGCGAGCAGCTCACCTCCCACAGCAGCTTCCGAGTGGGAGGTACGCCAGCCTACTCCTCCTTGCCCCTCGTCCATGTCCAGCCCAGCCCCGGGTTAGCAAACCAACAAGCCAGTCGGAAAAGAGCCAGCCTGGTCTTGGCGGGTGAGCCCCCCTGGCTTGTTCAGCCTCCTTTGGCTTGTTGCGGCTGCTGCAAAGTCACCATTCAAAAGGCATGGACTTGGGGAGAGGAGCGCACAGGCTGGAAAGAGCCCAGTTAGATGGGGCCTGGAGCAGAGCAGCAAGGCAGAGGCCTTTAAGGCTGGCTCTGCAAAGGCATTCCCACACCATTTGTTAAGTTTAATTTAATTAAACTGGCACCCTGGCACCCCCCGGCAAAATAATTCCTGGCTATAGGGCTGGAGCCATGCTAGTGCCTTTGAGTTGGGGGTGACTAGACTTTCAGTCACTTTCAGAGGCCCTCCAGGTTTTTCTTTCACAATGATTCTTGTACAAAAGCTATTGTGTTTGGATCAGAGGGTGGGGTTCACTCATCACTACTTGTAAGTATTGTATAAGGTAAGGCAGAGTAACATGGCAATGGAGAACTAAGGAAGCTGAGTCTGGAATTGTTTGGGGGGCTTTCTTAAAGAAATGAAGCAAGCAAGGCTACCAAAGGGATAGAAAGCCTGTAATGGGCCATCCGGCCAGCTGGTGGCAGTGCTGTGTTGCAACTTGAAGCAGTCCGGAGAAAGCTGATGACATCAAGCCATACGAAGGGGAAAATGTCGTTGGAACATGTCTGACCTTACAGCTGAACAAACTCCCCATTGTCCTCCCTTACCCCTTGAATCATTGTTAGTCCCGTGTGTATTTGAGTAACTGTAAATCGCTCAGAGACAGCAAGCTCTGTAGGACTGAGCGATTAATAAATTGAAAGATTATTATTATTATAAGGCAGGGTTAGGGGACAGGAACCTTTCCACATTTGGTTTGCTCTTTGAGAGCGGACTCATTGGGGCCAAGCCTGCCAATGACCACAGGTGACTTGATATCACAAGGCCTGCATGATTCACCCAGGACTGGCTGCTTGCTATTGTTCAACAGCAGCCAGTCCCATATCATGAGTGTAGTTCAGTGGTTAGTATTTCAGACTAGGATCTGGAAGACCCAGGTTCATATCCTCACTATGCTGCGGAAGCTCAGCCTAAGCTACCTCACTGGGGCTTTGTGAGGATAAAATGGAGGAGAAGAGAATGATGTGAGCTGCTTTGAGTCCTCATTGTGGAGAAAGACAGGGTATAAGTGATGTAAATAAATATAGCTGAAGATGGGGAGCAGATAGGTTTGCTGGTGAATGAGAAGGAGAGAAAGAAGGAGAGAAAGGGAGAAATACCAGGAAGAAGGAAAGATGAAATAGTGCTGGGAGGGGATACGGGGGAAATGAGGTGCCTCCCACAAGTCCTTGCAAGTTCCTCACTATGCAACTGAGCCCAGCAGCACAACTGGACCTAGCAGCCAACAGTGTGCAACTCAGACAGTGGGAGGAAAGAACTGAAGACGGGGAACAGGTAGACTTTCTAGTAGTTGGAAAAGAAGTAGGA